CTCTCTCTCTCCCCATCCTCTTGTCTTTTATCTAGTTCTCTACTCTTCTCTAGCACACCCATCTTCTCTCTCTCTCTCTCTCTCTCTCTCTCTCTCTCTCTCTCTCTCTCTCTCGATTTCTCTCTCGATCTCTCGTCTGCTCCTTCGACCGACGATGCTGGATACGGGCTTCCGAGCACCTAATCTCTACGCAATTTAGATGGCTCGAGAGCACCTATAAACCAACCATCCTCCTTCGTGGGAATTATCGATTACACTGCTACTATGTCCTGTTCGAATCTCCTCCTGGATTACTTATCCGCCGGATAACGTCAAGGCGGGTTTAAACCGACGCGCTAATTTCGCCGGCTTGTAGACAGTCTACAGATAGGACGTAGTTAAAAGAACAGAAGTGATAAAACTAGTGCTATCGACAAGCAAACAGATTTTTCTCGTAACTGTTACCAGCATAGATGATGCAATTTATTTTTTATTTATTATGTACATGTTCATATTTAAATATAATTTTTAATTCTTATTAACGAAAGTTCTTATTAGAAAAAGACATTATATTAAATTGTCTCTATTAAAAAAATACTTTGTGATAATATGTGATATTCTATAATTTTCAAATATTCAATTTAACTAAACATCTTGGATGTGCATAATTCAATTAGTAGGAACACGAAAAGCATATCAAAGTAATTAGAGATAACGCGATCACAGACGGACGAGTATATGAGAACCCTAATCACCTTAGTGCACGCGAATCGCATTAAGATTTAGGACGATCACAAGCCGCTGCCATAGAAGAAGAGACGCAGATCAAATTTGGAGATAACGAGAGCTGTCGAAGAGAGGAGTAATGCCGATGAAAAACGTCAAATTATCGGACCTGATTACTGGGCCTTCTGTTTTCTCCCTTTTCCTTTCCTATGTTTGTTAAAGCATTAGTGGTGGTGTTTACTGTAAAATTCTGAACGAACTACAAGACAAACGAGATATAGTTAGGAGCCGTACGAGCATGAGAGGAAGTGAAAGCCTCCTATCGCATCCGCACCACTTTGATCCCTTTGTTTTGCTACAGGATGAGCCGGAAGATCAGCTTGCTAACTCAAAGGACTGCTACGTCCTCCCATTCCTCTGCCCCACTTCTTTCTCTTTCTCAGCCGAATTCCGTTGGAACAGTCCGGCTCTAATTCCCGAACAGAGATACGAGCAGCCTCCATCTACTCTGCACACCATCTACTCTCTTGTCTCCCCCCCCTCTCTCTTTCTCTCTCTCTCTCTTTCTCTCTCTCTGCAATTGTGGACATAGCACTAGTTGGAGAACAAACAATCGTAGCCGTATAATTCCATAGGTGGAATCGGAAAAGGATGGGAGGGATGAGGAAGAGTAAAAGTTGGAACCGACAGTAACGTCATGGTGGGGAAAAGATTTGGTCGAACCCAGCACGTGAGGGTAGAGAGATACTGCCCCAACTTTATCTCTCGTACGTGCCGCTGATTTCTGATATCACAGTAGTTCTTGGATATCGATGACGATATCGAAACCGGAATTCAAAATAACGGTAAAAGATGAATGTGTTGAAAATTCTTAGAAAATTCTCACATTTACGGTACGTAAAAGCTATTAATTGTGCAACACATTTTTTTTAGCGTTCAAGAAAGATTATATTTATACAATATAATTATGGAATCTAATAAACAAAA